ACACACACACACACACACACACACACACATATATATATATATATATATATATATATATATATATATATATTATAAGTTACGAAGAACTTGGTAAACCGAATGGGTAATTCCAAAGAGGTTGAAATCCTGAGAGCTCAATGTGAATACAGAGCTAATATTTAATGAAAAAACAGACCACTTTAAGGTACCATTACAATAATTTATTTCACCAAAATCCTTTTTAAAGGATCATCAGATAACACTTCCAACAACGAAATGAAAGAAAAATGGGATTAGAAATTGATGGGTAGTGTAATTTTTGTAATTTAACAGGGAGGGTGATAGTTGTAGTTAACGAGACAAGGTAGAGTATAGGGAGGGGTTAATTTCATATCTCTCTTAAGCATGCTTTATATTGGGGTAGGAGGAGTGACCGAACCGTGACCTATTTAGATGGTTAACTTAACGTAAATGATATATAGGAATGGGAGGGTAGTGGGGGGAAAAGAAAAGGAAAAATGGAAAGGAGAGAGGAGACAGACGACAGTAATACAGATATATCTAAAAGAGTGTTACGGCAAAGAGAAAGTAGGAGAGGGAAGTGAATCGAAAGAGGCTGTAATTTTGTTCTAACAAAATTATGTAAAGATCTGTCTCACTCTCTCTCTCTCTCTCTATATATATATATATATATATATATATATATATATATATATATATATATATATATATATATATATATATATGAGAGAGAGAGAGAGAGAGAGAGAGAGAGAGAGAGAGGCACGGTGGAGTAATGGATAGCGTCTTGGATTGAGGAATCGCAGAGCCGAGTTCGAATTCCAGTCGAATCCATTACATTCACTTACGTGCTAATACCCTTGGGAAAGGTATGAATCCTCTTCCTCTACCTCCAGGTATGGGTAAAATAGCAGGACAGACTGGGTTCTATAACCTTGGATGGCAACAGGTCTAGGAGAAGGACAACTCTGAATTCAAAACCTGCGGAGGGTCGTTTGGGAACCTTGTGGCATTCGGTGCACCAGGTCTCTGTATTCGTCCCTTCAAAAAGTGTGGATGGTCCTGCACGAGGCCTTCACCACTATAATCATATCTCATGTGCCGGTGTCGGGCTGTCGGCTTCCTGGAAACTGATCTGCTTGACCCTCATACGTCGAATCTCGACAGGAGAGTCGATATATATATATATATATATATATATATATATATATATATATATATATCATAAATTGAATGTCGGAGTAAACAGGTCGTCATAAAATGTACCAAATCATTATTATTACATTTAATTTATTTTTATCTCCATATTTTTTTAAAGTCTCTCTGACTTCTCCCTAAAATTTCATGACCCGTTATTTGTCTCCATTTGAAATTATCTAAATATTACAAACAATCTTCTGCAATGTCTTAATATTATTATTATTGCTACTACTGTATTACCTACAGAGTGGGGACATGATGGAATCCTGCTTTCTTTGATGCTCACGGGATATAGTGAACACAAGGTGCAACCTACCAAAAAAGCTTGTTTTTGTGATGTCAACGAACACTTGCTGACACTTTTGTGATGTCAACGAATACTCGTTGCCACTTTCGTAATGCTCGGTGGATGTAGTAGAGACTTTGTAATCGTAGATACAACTATAGTAACGTCATTGAACAATACTAGTGTCAGACGCCTTCGAATATGATTCGCACTAACAGTACTTGCTCGATAATACTCGCTCGAATAGTAACCACCGAATAGTGATCTGAATAGAGAAATAGTATAGTGAATAGAATAGAGAATAGCGGTCCGTATAGTAATAGAAGGTAGTGTAGAAAGAGTGATCTGTACAGTGATAGAGGATAGAATAGAAATGATGATCATTTTGAGGTCACTCTAATTACCATTTATGCGTTTCTGGTCACGTGAACTACTAAATTCAAAATGGGATCGCCTGTGTTTGCTTTCTGGAGATTTATGTTCAAAATACTGTTTCGGCAGCGACGCTTTACTACTATACAACACTTGTGTAAATGTATAACAGAACAGGGTCGGTGAAAATAATAAAGGGAGAATTACAATTGACAGGAAGTAATGGAGACCCATGAACGTCCGCATATTGAAGTGATACAGAACATAAAAGAATATTGATTATATTTAATTTGTGGACACATCTATTTAACTCAGATAAATTGTATCATGACAAGTTATTCGTTTTAATAAAATTATAGAAATGGAAACAATAAGAATTAATATATATATATATATATATATATATATATATATATATATATGTTAAAGAAAAGAAAAAACCGTTCGTGGAAACTCCGGACAACTTGCCAAAACCTTACTCAGATAGTCTTGACAAAAACAAAAAAAGACAGAGAAAGAAATACCTAAAATTAAACCTACCTACACTTTAAAGTACTCGAAGCTAAGTCAGTTCATATTTAGAAATATTCATTAAATCCTTGTCTATTTTATTAAGGAGGATTATAGATCCTTTGCAAATAAATATATATATATATATATATATATATATATATATATATAGATAGATAGATAGATAGATAGATAGATAGATGAATGAAAAAAAGACCAAACGGAAAACATTTCTTAGCCAACGTGTTTCGCACTAGGAGGATATATATATATATATATATATATATATATATATATATAGTCTTCCTCAGACGGACTGTTTTGCTGTATCACAGCTCCACGATGTGGCTAGACATGCGACTGCTTCAAGCCGGGATCGGAACCCGACCGATATGACATCAGTCGGAGACTCTCACTTTAGGCCATCAGCGCACGCGGCGGAGAAAAGAAATTGTTAACTCATTATATACCAGATATAAGCAATACCGGCTACCAGATTGCTTAATTCATAGCGAAGTGCTTTTAGAGTTAATTAGCACAACCCGACAAATTCTCTTCCTTCCAAAGTGCTCAACCTACGAGAGGAGGCGTATATAATCATCCACAGACAGACTGTTTCTCTGTATTACAGTTGATCAGTGTATTTAGACATGATATTGCTTCAAGCCAGGATCGATTTGACATCAGTGGGAGACAATTACCATATATATATATATATATATATATATATATATATATATATAGCTGTTGACCTCATTGTCCACTTTCATATTTATATACGCTGTATCGCTGATATTGAGAATTTTAAAACATAATATAATGTATATATATATTATAATATAATTTATGTGTGTGTGATTACAAACACACACACACACACACACACACACACACACACACACATATATATATATATATATATATATATATATATATATATATATATATATATATATATATAAACTGCTCAATATAAGAGACAGAGCGTATGTAAATATAAAATTAGTCATTGAAGGCAACATATGCGTTTAGCATGAAACAGACTGTCGTCTCTCGGTGTTGACTTTAATGTCCATATATATATATATAGGTAGAAATATTTAATAAATCAGACTAAATCCAATTGAAATTCATAAGAAAATGCTATGAAATTCTTTCCCTCTTGAGCCTTTAACATTATTAGATATTTGAAATACAGAAAATGCACTTTATTCATCAAAGTAATAAATGACATTTCAGAACGCTGAAATTGAAAATAGAGAATCGGCGAGCGGAAAATTCTCTTCATTGCAGTCGGTGCCTGTAACAGCGGCGTCTCTGACTGCGTTTCACGTATGTTTACATATTTCATGCGGCTTAATAATTACTTTATTGGGAAAAGGAGTGGTATATTATAGTGCGTCTTAATAGAAAATCAGAATTTTAAATTCCTAAGAAAGTGCGTTTATATAAATACGATTTCATCGCATCTATTTATCTCTCTATATATCGATCTCAGTCTTTTCACTTATCTATCTATCTATCTATCTATCTATCTATCTATCTATCTATCTATCTGCCTGTCTGTCTGCCTGTCTGTCTCAGTCTATTCACACCTATCTATCTATCAATCTGTCTTCACGTCTGAGTTGAAAATATGGATTAAATACGACGCAATGGAAACAAGTAGAAGAAACTTTATGAATTGAACGCTAAGAAAATTTTACTGTTTATTTAGACATTTATGTTGAAGTTAAGTTAAATAAGTTGAAAAACATTAAAATTAAAAGAGTCTCAAGTTTTTCCCTATTTAATCTTACATCTGGGGAAATAAATTATAGCCATGGAACCTTAAGGTTGACTCTTTCTTAATTATCTAATATATATCTATATTGCCTTCGAGCATAAAACAGATTGTCACCACTAACTGTTGGCTCCTTGCTGACTCATAAGTTAAATACCTTAAAAAGTATATCTGTATCATACACGCACACACAAACACACGTACATATATATATATATATATATATATATATATATATATATATAGATAGATAGATAGATAGATGATGATATATATATATATATAAAATATGATCATATATATACGTATATATGATAATATATATATAAAGATATATAAATATATGATTACATATATATTTATATTCATATATATATATATATATATATATATATATATATATATATATATATATATGTATGTATATGTATATATATATATATCCAGGTTGAATATATATATAATCCAGGTTGAATCCATTACATTCACTTACGTGCTAATACCCTTGGCAAAGGGGTGAATCCTCTTCTTCTCCCTCCAGCTATGGGTAAAATAGCAGGACAGACTGGGTTCTATAGCCTTGGATGGCAACTGGTCTAGGAGAAGGACAACTCTGAATTCAATACCTGAGGGGGGTTGTTTGGGGACCTTTGGCACGTAGTGCACCAGGTCTCTATATTTGTCCCTTCAAAAAGTGTGGATGGTCCTGCACGAAACATTCACCACTATAATCGAATCTCATGTGCCGGTGTCGGGCTGTCGGTTTCCTGCAAACTGATCTGCCTGACCCTCATACGTCGAACCCGACAGGAGAGTCGATATATATATATATATATATATATATATATATATATATATATATATATATATATATATATGATCATTCTGGATAAAGAAATCAATCCTGCCTAATTTTTAAAGATTTATTTTTTGGTTCATTTCTCTCTCCCCCTCCCTCTGTATTTGCTTATCTATCTTTCTCTATGAATTTTTATCTTTCTTCTTTTATTATCTTTCTTCTTTCTCTCTTTCTCTCTCTCTCTCTCTCTCTCTCTCCTCATCTATTTCTCTATCTATCTATCTATCTGTTCGAAAATAATAATGAAAGCATTCCTATTCTGATCATGAAGTTTGCCTTATTTACTTTTTATGTATAAAAACAGAAATTTTCTAAGGAAATTTTTAGTCAAATTGCTGAACATAATAATCATTTTTTTTCTTGCCGCTCGGAATTAAGATAATATAGAAATCTGACTAAATTGAAAATAAGGCGAGGAAAAGTCGAGTCAAAAATCAATGGGAAGAGAAAAGAAAAATCTGAATCTTGTTGTATAACGTGTTGAAAGACATTTGCCATTATAACACAGTTGATGTTTCCGTCTCTAAGACTGTTTCTTGCTTGCGCATATATGATTGGTTTCTATGGCTACAATGGAGTCACCTGCGCAATTTAGAGCAAATCTCAATCCCTAGCCAGTCATTTGTTAGATTGGCTGATTATATGGTTCAATGTCTCAACACAGTCGATATTTGCCATTTTCTCGTGATTTATGCATTTTGAGTCTTAAAATGGTTTTCACATGGAAAACAGAACAAATCAATGGTTAATCCGGTTCAACCGATTTCAGAATAGAGTTTTATTCAAGTGCCAAGCAAGAATGCAATCCATGCTGCTATTTGTAGCCAAGAGGTTTATTGTCTTGGTACTGATTATATTTCACTCACAGGATACGATTTCTATTAGATATCGGAGAAAATAGAATTTGGTATTAGAATTGCAATACGTTTTGTTTAATTCGTTTCACCCCAATCAAGCCAATAAAGCCAAGGAGGATACCGAAAATGTGTGAGAAAATATGAAAAAAAAATGATTAAAGAGAAAGGATATTAAAAGAATAATAATTAAGAAGACAGAAGATAATGATTGACATTGCATTTCAATTTTTGAAGATCAATCTTGACTTAGAAGCAAGAAACTGGGAGATATTTCAAGAAGTGAGAAATGTGAGAGAATAAATTCTTAGCATAGAACTTACGATATTTAATAAAACTTATGCCTATGCTGATGGCAATATTAGCGGTTTCCCTCCAAGGAAAGATTTAGCATTCATTAAACGAGTCGCCAGTAACGATTTCGGCTGAAATTTATAAAATCTTTCTCTTAAAATAATTTCTTAGGAATACAGGTTTCTCAATACTGTTATTACTCTTTCCAGCTCTGACGGGAGTTTCTTCCTAAGATTTATTAGAAATGGTGTAGAATCCTAACATCTTGATTATGTCATTATTTTCGCTTCGTTTCACATGTGCTATCCGGCTTAGTTAAGTCATTAGATATTGTAAATTAAAAACGATGTCCGCAGATATATCTTTATATAGATGTAGATTTCGAGTGATATCAATCTATGATCCAACTGATAAAATATTTATAATTATATCTAAATATTTAATATGAAAAATAGACTTTAAACTGCGTTTCCGTGTCTTGGACATTGTGATTATTCGGCATGACGTATCAGTAAAATCTACTCCATTATTCCTTAAAACAAGTAATGCACATTGTAAAGCATAAACATCATGCTTTTCAATGTGTTTTAATCAATAATTAAAAATACTGTAAATCTCATTCTAGAGCAGTTTTTCTTAACCTGTGTTCCCAGGAATCCTTGGGTTCCGCAACATGCGGTTAAGGGTTCAACGAGAAACTGTGATAAATAGGCTAATGCATTTTTGAATCATTTTTCTTTTATATTCGTAAATTTACTATAAATGTATATCATATTTTTGAAAAATCCTTGGTTATTTTAATAAAATATAAACGTGATAGATATGAATAATGCTATATAATAAGTGGAGGTTTTCTGAGACATGAAAGGTATTTCAAGGGTGGCACAAGGGGAAAGTCTGAGAGTCGCTGTTCTAGAGTAATGCAACTATGCATACCATGTACACAAAAGGTACGTCTGCTTGGTAGTGACTCCATTTCACACTTCACAATTGTACCTTAGTACAATTTAATTGGATCTATCTGAAAGGAAAAAGACAACTTGTGTTGGAATTGCAATGCATAAAGCATAGGCATCTCTGTATTTTTGCAATGAGGTATTTTATCTATATACACTATTTACATTGTTCAAACTGAGGTCCTATTCTTTATTGTCATGTAAGCGACATTTCGGCTTTTGTACTCTCCGGCCTTTTTCAGATAATATACGTTGGAATTTCAAACTAAACACTTCACTCAGTCCACTGGGTTAGGTTGTTCTAGTTCCACGTGCCATGCCTTTTTTTGGTTATGTCAGTTTCAGTTATCTCCATTTAGTAACCCAACACTCCCAGTTTTTGTTCTGGTTTGAACTCACAACTCTTTGGTTCAAATCACTGGATTACTTTAACCAACGCTTTCATCTTCTGAGCTATGTCGTGAATATCACAATAAAGATGAGGGTAATAATCCGAACAATGGAAATAGTGTAAATATAAAACATCAGCTATTTACATTATTCGGACTATTGTCCTTATCTTTGTCGCCATATTTATTACAACGCTCAAGGACACATGGATAAAAACGTCGGTTAGATCCAGTGACAGGACTCAAAGAGTGTGAGTTCAATACCCGGTCAAGGCAGTGGAGAACTTGGAGAGGGGAATTAAGAGAGGATAAGTGATAAGTGACATCCATTAAACATGTAACTTGGAACTAGTACAGTCTACCCCAGTAAGTGAAATAAAGGGTTCAGTTCGACATTCCAAATACTTGAAGAAGGCCGGAGCGTACAACGGCCGAAACTTTGTAATAAATATGGCGACAATGATGATGACAATAGTCCGAATAATGTAAATAGTGTACGTAATACCTCATCTCAGAAATATAGACAGATACTAAAAGGCTGAAACGTTGTAATAAATATGGCAACAAAGATGAGGACAATAGTCCGAATAATGTAAATAGTGTATATAATGCCGCCTCTCAGAAATATAGATAGATTTTGTCCATGATTATGACTATAAAACATCAGATATTGTTATAGAATGAATGATGCCTGCAGATATTGTTGTGTGTGCAGGTAAAATCCGACTGGTATTTGTCTATGTTACAATTGATAAAATGTTATATCTGAAAAGTATAATTTTCAATGTGTTTCAGTAAAACAGTGACAATTGAATTTAATACTAGAATATTTTAATTTAAAACAATTTGGTTCTTATTGTGTTTCAGTAACTTAGACTTAGTGAATACAGATGTTGTTTCTATGCTAAAGGTGCAAAGCTTTGGCAGTGACACTTATGATAGGATATCTTATGGAGTGATTCGAACGAGAAACGGTAATTGTACTATTTAATATTTTCTTTGACTATGTTTTCCGTGTTTATAATCAAAGATGTGAAGAATTGTGTTCAGGACTCTTAAATATACAGTACCGCATCCTTCAATAATCGACTGATAAAAACTAACGAGAAGACAATATTTCACCAGATCCTAAATTCTGGCGCTATAAAATAGCAAAAACTGCAACAAAAATCACACCTCTTGAACAATTTCTACCACAGTAACAACTGGGTAACAATGTGTAACTAGAAGAGAAAATTATATAACCCGACCGGTAACCTTTGACGTTACTAAGACCAAAGGTGCAAAGGAAACTCCCATGAATTTTAAAAAGATCTATTACCTAACAGCAGGTGAGTTTGTGAAATCTAATTTTCTGAAAAAGAATCATTAATTACTTTTATATATTTCAGCTAACATTAACCACCTTTTTTTTTTGTTTTAGCAATAGGATGCTTTCCCGATCACTACAATCTTAACCTGTTCAAGTCTAGGGTTAACCATTATCTTCCCCACATATCCGCATAAACTGTGCCTCTTAATCAGTAACTCTCTACCTCGGGTGGCTCTAGGGCCTTGTACAGGGTAAACATCACTGTGCAGAATTATTATAGTATGGCATTTATGGCGTTGTTTAAGCGGCAATTCAGTTGGTCCTTTTTAGATTTCTACGTAAACATGTCCATGTCGATTTATTTGCTTTGATAAAGTTCATTTGATCTGTCTTCTGAAGTATATATCAAATTATTTCTGTTCCTGTTATTCTATTGTCGTTTTATGTCGCTTGGATTTCTATTCATTCATCTATTCGTTTCAGGTTTTTGCAATTATCTATTGCTTTGCTGTGTATTACGTTATGCTGGCGATCATTATTCATGCTCTCTTTCAAGTTGCTTTGACCTCAAACATATCTCGCAGGATGTTTGTTGTTTCGAGTAATGTCGATTTGTGCTGGTTTGGAACATAGGTCTTGATTCCAAGAATTTCCAAATTACAGTCAAGAGTCATTGGCATGGAGCCTAACGTACCAATGATGATTGGTATTATGGTAATAGCGATATCTCCCAAACATACCACATCAGTGCAAAGATCGGTATATCTACTGAGATTCTCTATCTTGTTGATATTGCATTCTCAGGAGATCAAAATCTTGTTAAGAAAGTCTTAAAAAGATTTTGATCTCCTGAGAATGCAATATCAACAAGGTAGAAGATTCTGTTAACTTTACCAATCAAAGTATTATCAGGCTTCGTATGTCCAACCTTACGGTTTTTTGAATTTGGAAGTTTCAAAAGAGTTTTATTTTCATTATCCATAGTCCTTTCCGTTTGGAAGCAATACCATTTTAGTTCACGTCAAAGTCATACTTCCTGGTTTTTGCTATTATTATTATTATTATTTTCTTTGATTTCTGGCATTTACACATTTCTTTCCGGGCCCCGCCCAGGGACCTAAGGCTAGAAATGGCATCATGACACTTTCCATTGACAAAAAAAAAAAAATTACATAGATAAAGCACTTCGTAAAGTGTGGGCTGTACTTGTCAGAACAATTTTTGTATCTCCTTGAGGCATGGGCTTCCAGGAATCCCTTCAATTAGTCTATTGGAATCTTTTCCAACAAATCCTAGGGCTCCAACTACAACAGGGATTGTTGATGTTCCCATATGCCAGATTTTTGAGATAAGGCACTTTTTTTTTTTTTTGTGGTCTTTAATAACAATATCTGGGCGGTTGGCTTTGATTGTTCTGTCAGTGTGTATTGTGTAG